GCCACCCAGGCACCACATGCATATGGATTTCTTATTAAATGCCTCCTTACCCAGATAGTAGGTTCTCAGAAAAGACAGACATTGTCATTGTCCTGCTGCCTTTGCACCTGCCATTCCTAACACAATGTGTGGTTTAAGGCCAGTGTTCTATAAATATTTGTGGTAGTGAAGGAGAGAATTCAAGACCACAGTGCTCATTACACTAAGCAGGATGATGGGGACCACAGGGTAAGTTCATTAAGATATACATAATTTATTTATTTTTTTTTTAAAGATTTTTTTTTAATTTATTTGACAGACAGATCACAAGTAGGCAAAGAGGCAGGCAGAGAGAGAGAGGAGGAGGAGGCAGGCTCCCTGCTGAGCAGAGAACCCGACGCGGGACTCGATCCCAGGACCCTGAGATCATGACCTGAGCCGAAGGCAGAGGCTTTAACCACTGAGCCACCCAGGCGCCCCTAAGATATACATAATTTAACCTGACTCTTCCTGACCCAGCCTTCAAGGGATCCCATAAAAAAGGGTGGGCCTGAACTCAGACTCCTAGTTCTCACTTTGATTCATTCACTCGGCATTCAAAGACATTCCAGATGCGCAGGGAATTTTGCTAAGCATAGAAGGGAGGAGAGGAAAGAAGGGAGGGGAGGAAAGAAACTCCTTGCTTAGGCTCTGCCTTTACAGACCTCAGAGTGTGTCAGGGAGACTGTTGGACTAACCCTCTCCCCTCTCTTACAGGGAAGAAAATATCTAGACAAAACCCATAGAAGTTGTAAGAAGGACAGTTACGTCTGGCTGCAGGCAGAAAAGAAGACTTCCTGGAGGAGGGGTCATCGAAGCACTGTTTGTTGAGCACCTGGGACGTGTTCTGCAATCTGCTTGAAGAAACTTCAGAATGTTCACCATAGTATAGTTCACCATAAGGAGTAAGGAGTATGATTATTCGGCAGGGCGGGGGTCGTGGGGGCTAGGGAGGGAAAAAAATGAAACAAGATGGGATCAGGAGGGAGACAAACCATAAGAAACCCTTAATCTCATGAAACAAACTGCGGGTTGCTGGGAGGTTGCGGGGGTAGGAAGAGGGTGGCTGGGTGGTGGACATTGGGGAGGGTATGTGCTATGGTGAGTGCTGTGAGTGTGTAAGCCTGATGATTCACAGACCTGTACCCCTGGCGCAAATAATACATTATATGTTAATTTTTTTTTTAAAAAGGAGTATGATTATCCCCAGTGAATAGCAGAGGGACACGGGTGAGATTCAAAATCAGGCCTGACACCAAAGCCAGTCACTCTGAAGAACTTCAGTCTTCACTCGCTGCATTCAGGAAGAAGATTCTGGCAGGATTGTCAGGGTGGTCTGGATAATATAAGCAGGACAGGACTCCCATTATCCTGATGTGGGAGCTCAGCAGACACCCAGAGTGTCTCCTGCAGTTTGGGGGCCCTGAGGGCTTTCTCCTGGTGCCCCCGCTAAAACAGACCCTTCCCTCATCATGACCCCCTCCCTGTGGAGCCATGGAGCTCCTGCCCCCACCATGCACAAGACCTTCCCAGACGGGTGGCCCTTGAACTCCAACCCACTGATGCCCAAATCAGCTCAGCTGGAGCCCTGCCTCGATCTGGGCTTCATGATCCACCCCCACCCCCAGGTCTCTCACTGAGAGGAGATGGCAGACCACCACTGTTCCTATTCTACTGAGGAGCTCCTTGGGGAAAACTTTGCATTATCGTCCTTAGATTTTGGAGTAAATCTCAGGAACCAAGGTATTGGCATGGCAGCTGGGGTCAACCTGGCCACTTTCTGAAACCTGGAAGCATGGAGGCTGCCTTTCCCTGCTGCCTCCTCCAACACTTCCCATCCCACGAGTGATCAAAGAGAAGAATAGAATCTTCCCGTGGCCTTTGGAGTCCACACAAAAGGTGCTAATGCCCAGCTAGGAAGGATGCAGGAGGGCAGGGGAGACAGAAGCAGGAGCCGCGTTGGATGCAAGCACTCAAGGGATCAGCCTGCTGTAGGGCAATGTTTCCCCGATTGCTGTCCTTTGAGAACCACCTACTCGATTTTAGGCATAATCACATATCACCTGGTCTATTATTATACTTAAATTTACTTTAAAAGGAGTCTTGTATCACTACTGCAGAGGAGAAACTGAATCATTTGCCATAAACAGGAGGTAACCATGGAGATAGAGGGCTATTAAGTTTCTAGCTAAGTTGTTCTATGCCAGGGTGAGGCTCCCTCCCCATCCTTACCCTGCCTCCTTACCCTCTCTGTGACCCCGGCCCCTTCTGCTGCTTCAGCTGCGCCGGTGGATACAGTTGCTCACTCAACATTCATTCTACTAATAAAGCCAGGTCTCCCCCAGAAATGGCTTTACTTACAGAGAAGCACATTTGCAAATTCTTTCGGGACACCACTATTTGTCCAGGACTCCTACTCAACTGTTTGGTCCCAGGACAGTAAATTAGGAGACCCTCTGAGGACAGTGCAACAGCCCAGTGCGGCTCTGGATCAAGTTCAACCCAAGGGAGGGGCTTGCTGGACCCCTGGCTTTTTTTCTGAGATCATCTCCGAGAAGATGAGCTACCCCAGGACCCTCTGAATGGCCTCCTCTGAGGCTCAATCCCAAGGAAGTCTGAGATGCCTGAGTGGGAAGGAGGGGGCAGCTCTGGCTGAGTGTGTTGGCAGGCACATTTCACCGGCAGGGAAAGTTCTAGATGCTGAAGCCTGGAGGGCTACAGGTAACAGGATGTGGGGCCAGAAGAGCCTTAGGCAACATTGAAAACAAACAGGAAATGAGCTGTGATGCTAGAGCTGGTGAACTCTGTCATCCGAAACAGGAAGCAGGGAGTCAGTGTTGAGAACCAACCTGGACTTCCCATTAAATACCTTGCTAGATCGCACCATAGGGTCTCCTGAGACTTTAGGTTCTCATCTTCTGCTTTTCTCTTCTTTCACTACTACTGATGCTTAGACTCACAGACCAAAACGTGTGGGACCAGCAAAGCTTGGAGGAACCAGTCTGCTCCACCCCTTACATGAGGCCGCTTGGAAGCCCTTGGGGTAGCTCATCTTTTAGGGGACGAAGAGTTTCCAGCCAACCTTTGGAAGTGAGGGTCCAGTGCTGAGAACAGAGGCTCACTCTGCATGGGGGATATTTGGAGACGCTCAACAAAACCAAAGTCTGAAAGCTCACCAGACCTGCCTTCTTTGGGAGGCAGCCTTGGGATCACGTCTAAAGAGGGAGGGATGCAGGTTCTAAGGAGGCGTCTCCTGGAAGGAAGTGAAAGCTAGGGTGGGAGAGGTGGTAAGGACCCTTTGGGAAGGCTTATGGGGGAATGTCCATTCTTGGGGAGGCACTGGGTGGTCCTCTCCCACGTCCACCTTTCCAACATTTTACTGCAAAGATCCTGGAATTAATTTCTCCTTTTCTTCCTCCCTCCCTCCCTTCTTCCCTCTTTCCTTCGTTCCTTCCACTGTTCTCTTTTTTAAAAACTCTGTCTCAGGGCACCTGGGTGGCTCAGTGGGTTAAAGCCTCTGCCTTCGGCTCAGGTCATGATCCCAGGGTCCTGGGATTGAGCCCCACATCGGGCTCTCTGCTCAGCAGGGAGCCTGCTTCCTCCTTTCTCTCTCTTTGCCTGCCTCTCTGCCTACTTGTGATCTCTGTCTGTCAAATAAATAAATAAATCTTAAAAAAAAAATTAAAACTGTCCCTAGGAATGCCTGCCTGGGTGGCTCAGTGGGTTAAAGCCTCTGCCTTACCTCAGGTCCTGATCTCAGGATTGAGTCCCGCATTGGGTCCTTGATCACTGGGGAGTCTGTCCCTCTCCCTGTGCCCCTCCTTGTGCAAACTCTCTCTTTGTATTTCAAATAAATAAATAAATAAAAGCTTAAAGAATAATAAAACTCTGTCTCTAGATAAGCCTTTTCCCTAGGAAGCCGCTGCTACGTGAAAGGTATTTGCACCACCAGCAGGTAAACTGAGGTATCCCCATGGGGGCAGTCACCAGGGGACTGACTGTGTGAAATGCCACCACTGACAATTCTTCTACTTCAGTACCCTTTGACCGGTTATCTAATGGTTTCCTTTGCTCCTCTGTTTCCTGGGGATTAAGTGTGTTCATTTGCTGAGCAAGGTGAGTAGGCCCAAAGGAAGGAAGTGATCTGCTCTGGGTCCAGCTTCTGGTGGCTGCGGGCTACATCACTCCAATCTCTGGCTCCTGTTGTCACACAGCCTCCTCCTCTTCCGTCTATTCTCTGTGTGTCTTACAGGGACACTCGTCATTGGATTTAAGGCCCAATCCAGGATGATGATCTCTCAAGATCCTTAGTTGAAAAAAAAAAAAAAAAAGATCCTTAGTTGAATGACATCTACAAAGACCCTTTGTCCAAATAAGGTAATAGAGGTTCTGGGATTTGACACGGATCTTTTTTGGGGGCCATTTCTTCAGCCTACCACAGGTACAAGGGACTTAACAGAAGGAAACGATAAATGGAGAGCTGCTTCCCTTGGAAGTTAGGACGCAGCCACCAAGTACCACCGCCCCAGATCTCCCCCAAGTCACCCCAGGCCTGTCCTTCAGGCTTCGCAGAGCCCCGCCCCTCCCAAATCCAGTTTGCAAGTCCCTTCCATTGTTGTTACGATTCCTTTCCCAATTCATGAGGGATGAGGAAATGGAGTCCTGGCGCAACCGGGTGCTCAGCACCCCATTTGGATGAGTCGCGCGCCCCCAAATCTTAGAATAAGAGGAGATGAGAGGCAGGGAAGGGCTGGGGAACATGCAATGCGGCTTTCTGAGCGGGGAGGTGCGCGCTTTCTGCCGCGGATGGCTGCCGCGGCGGACGCGTCGCCATCGGTGCTCACAGCCGCGCGCGCACGGACGAGCGGGGAGTGTCGCCCCTGTGCACGCAGTGGGAAGTGGCCCCGGGAGAGGAGCTGGGGAGCACGCGCGCGCACCCTGCGGTGCGCAGGGCAGCGGGGGGGGGGGGGGGGGGGGGGGGCGGGGGAGAGGGGACCGCTGCCGCAATGCGCGCCTCCGCCGAAGCCCGTGTGCCCAGATGGAGAGAGGGGGCGCCGTGCGCGCGGACTCTGCTTGCGCGCCCCCGCCTGGGGCTATAAAAGCCTCGCCACCTGCTGCCACTAGTGCGTCCAGTTGCCGGGAGAAGTCAGTTCACCTCCTCCAGCGATAGCTCCTCTGGACATGGACCCTGAGACCTGCCCTTGCCCTACTGGTGAGCCCCCGCCCCCAACCCGCGGTACAGCGCCCCCCCTGACTTTGCAGAGAACCCCACGCCCTACCGACCGCTCAAGGACATTTTGGGGAAGGGACCCTCCTTAGTTGCCATTTTTAACCTCGTCAAAAGGTGGACGTGGCTATATTCCAGAGGGCACTGAGATTCGACACCCCGTCTCCTCCTTTAGGCCTGGCTGCACCCCAGTTTTAGCATATTTAACTCTTCCTGTGGCGTCCCCCCTTTAGGCGGTTCCTGCACCTGCGAAGAAGGCTCCTGCAAGTGCGAGGGATGCAAATGCACCTCCTGCAAGAAGAGTGAGTGTGGGCGCCCCCCACCCCACCCCTGCCCCCAGTGCTCCCTACTGTCGGCGTCTGTCTACGCAAGATGGAGAGACCCGAGGCCTTCTATTATATTGCTTTTGACTCTTACTGGGACAGAACCACCTGGGGAGACCATAAGATACAGTCGCCCCGCCCCCACCCCCAGTGATTGGTACCCAAGGCCTGGGGCAAGATGTTTTTGTAAATCGTGGGCTTCTCCTGGGGAGCTGGGGTGGAGAACTGCAACCCTGGTTGAAACCCTCACCTCCAAACCTCAGGGCTTGAGGAAGCCAGTGGCGAGGCTGGGGGGCAGCTCTGGAGTTCTGGTCCCTTGGTCCCCCCCAGGCCTTTGAGGATCTCCTCAACTTGACCTTCCTCAGTCTCCCCGGGGAGCAGTGTAATATGCTTGGGGAGTCAGAGGCGGGAGGAATAAGACTAACCCTAGATCCTCCCACGGATCTCCTGGAACCCTCACACCTGGCCATCTCAACTCCTCCGAGTTTATCCTTCAAGTCCCTTTTCAAGGCCATTCACCCTATGATGTTTTCTCCTTACGGTCCAGCACTTACCCCACCATCCCAGTGGTGCATCCCCTGCACCCACCGAAGGGGCTGTGGGCTACTTACTGGACACCCCTCTCCCCAGGATGCAACGGACACACTGCAGATGCTGAGTCAGACTCGGCATGAGACTAGGAAGGGGGCAGTGACTAGGCCCTTAGCACCCCTCCTTCTCCCCCTCCCTTAAGATGGAGACAGATGCAGGGAGAGGCCATCAGAGGCTCCCGATTTTATCCGCAGGCTGTTGCTCGTGCTGCCCTGCAGAATGTGAGAAATGCGCCAAGGATTGCGTGTGCAAAGGTGGAGAGGGTACGGAGGCTGGGGCTGAGAAGTGCAGCTGCTGCCAGTGAAGACGGCCCCTCCGTGTGAACCGGGTGTGAAGCGGGTGTGAAGAGTGCCTGGGTGGCCCAGTGCTACCTCTCCGGTGGTGAGGCTTGGCTGCCAGCCCCTGGCAAGTGAATAAATCCCATGTACGGCATAAGCCAAGGACTGGTCTCTTCTTAAGGGGGAAGGAGGTGGGGGTAGGGGGAGCCTAACCTGAAGGAACTGCCCCTTTGAAAACTGAAATCCTGAGACATGGCCACTGTTCTGTTTGGGGCTAGGATGGAGCTCTGGGGGGCAGAGTACAGTCCTCCCCACCTTCGGATAACACTTGAGCTTCCTGCTAAGTCAAGCTCAAGTCTGGGACAGAGAGACCAGACCCCATGTTGGTCTCTTGCTCCCACTGGTCAACCTCACATTCTTCATCCGTACAATGGGGTTGGGGGAAATTAAAACCAGGTCCCAGTCCCAAAGCCCTGTGATTCCTGGAATGTTCTAGTTGTTCCTGCAAAGCTGCTTGTTGTCAGAGCCATCAGAGGAGAGAGTCCAGGAGGCCCAGGGGTCTGTCTTGGCAAACTGTCAGCTGTGTTTCCAAGGTCACCACCCTGAATAGCCTGCCTCCCAGAAACAGGCTGTTCAGCTCCCTTCAAATCATCTCATTTGGCAGGTTGTGTTCAGCCCCTTTTTCTTCAAGGGCAACTAGGGTAATAAGAGCTTTTATCCACTGTGGTTGTGATCCAGTCCTTGGTGAAAGAGAACATTCAGATCCACCTGGGTTGGCTGAGAAGGGAGAAAAAGAATTCTGGGAGACAAAAGTTTTCCAGCAAGAGGTCACAATGCTGTAAACACATCAATTTTCCTCCAAGTTAGTTTTTCAGGACAGCTCATTCAAAAGCCCACCAGGATTTATTTTTAAGACTTAAGAGGCTGAGTGTAGTAAAACAGAGTGCGAGAAAAGCCAAACCAGTTTTGAAAAGGAACAGCAAAAGGGGTTTGCTCTAACCTGCTAGCATTACTTGTTCTAATGCTCTAGGAAGTGATGTCAGCTCAGGAGTAGATCCGTTGGACAGAGAAGAGGGTCCCAAAACAGACCCTGTGTAGCTGGGAGTAAGAGATGTCCAAGTTAGTGACAGAAGGATACACTAGTCAGTGAGAAGTGTTGGAACAATTGGCTATCCTTTTGCATATCATGTAAAAAGTATTTTTCAATTGGCTTAAATGCCTAGGAGCAAAATCAAAGCTATAAAAGAATCAGAAGGGAGAAATTGAATGTTTATTACTCTGGGATAGATACGATTCTTTTAAATGAGACATAAAAGAAAAGATTGATACATTTGAGATTATCTTGTGCTAAGTCCTTTTAAGTACATTATCTTACTTGATCCTTAAACTCTAAAAGAATGGTATGATGATTATACCCATTTTACAGATGGGGAAATAGAGCTTAGGGTAATCTGCATGAGGTCTATTAAAAGATAAACGGAGGCATATGTGTTTATTTGCGCAAACATTGATCCAAATGAGACAGTCTCCAGTCTGGGAGATCGAAAGGAGCGCCAAGGAGCACAAAATGGAAGACTTTCATAGGCAGAAAGGAGCAGGACCGATGAAGTTATAACAACCCCCACTCCAAAAACAAAAAAAAGAAGAAGAAGAAGAAGAAAAAAGAAAGAAAAAGGAGAAGAAGAAAAAGGAAAAAGAAAAAGAACAGGCTCAGGTCATGATCTCAAGATCATTGCTTCTACCTTCCACGTAGCTAGAACATGGTAGAGTCAGGATTTGAACCCAGGCTAATGGACTCAAATCAGACCCTTAAGCCTACTGATGCTTGTTTTCTTGCTTCTGGCTTGCCTTGCATTACAAAAAGCATCAAAACAAACCCAAATCACGTCACACTCATTAGGATGATGTTTCTGTCTGTTGGAGCTGCTATAACAAAATATTACAGACTGAGTAGCATATAAACAACAGAAATTTATTTTTCGTGGTTCTGGAGCCGAGAAGCCCAAGATCAGAGTGCCAGCATGTCCAAGTAAAGGCCTCTTCTGGGTCAAAACTTCCCGTTGCATCCTCCCAGGGCAGAAGGGACTGGGGAGCTCTGTGGGGTCTCTTTCATAAGAGCACTAACCTCTTTGAGGAGAGCTCCACCTCCTGACCTAAACCCCTCCCATAGTCCCCAGGAGACACAAACATTCAGTCCATAGCAGATGAATACTATCAAAAAAACAAGGGGCTTCCCCCCCATCTCTCTGCTTGCCTCTCTGCCTACTTGTGATCTCTGTCTGTCAAATAAATAAATTTTTTAAAATATTTAAAAATTATTAATTAATTAATTAAAAAATAAAATAAAAATGGTTAAGATGGTAAACTTTGGGACTCCTGGGTGGCTCAGTGGGTTAGAGCCTCTGCCTTCAGCTCAGGTCATGATCCCAAGGTCCTGGGATCGAGCCCCACATCGGGCTCTCTGCTCGGCAGGGAGCCTGCTTCCCTTCCTCTCTCTCTGCCTGCCTCTCTGCCTACTTGTGATCTCTGTCAAATAAATAAATAAATACAAATCTTAAAAAAAAAAAAAATGACAAGTGTCAGCAAGGATGTGGAGAAACTAGAATCCTCCGGCACCCGTGGCAGAAACGTAAAATGGTGCAGCCACTGTGGAAACAGTATGGCGGCTCTTCAGAAAAATTAAAGATAGAATGGTCATAGAACCCAGCAATTCCACCTTTGGGTAATGTCAAAAGAATTGAAAGCAGGGTTTCAAAGAGATATTTGTAGACCCCATGTTCGTAGCGCATTATTCACAGTAGCCAAAAGGAGGAAGCAATGTAGGTATCCACTGATAGGTGAATGGATAAACAAAATGTGGTATATACATACAGCGGACTGTTATCTATTCATTGGGGGGCTCAGTCAGTTAAGCCCCCGACTCTTGATTTGGCTCAGGTCATGATCTCAGGGTCGTGGGATTGAGCCCCTCTACAAGCCCAGCTCAGCACGTGCAGTCTGCTTGTTCCTGTCTCTCTCTCTCTCCCTCTGTCTGTTACCCACCCCCAACACCCTCAGTCAGGTGCCCTCTCTCTCAAATAAAAAAATAAAAATAAAACCTTTTTAAAAAATATTAGAGGAGGGACACCTGGGTGGCTCATTCGGTTAAGTGTCCGCCTTCAGTTCAGGTCATGTTCTCAGGGTCCTGGGATGAGTCCTGCACTGGGTTCCCTGCTCCTTCTCCCTCTGCCTGGTGCTCCTCCTGCTTGTGCGTGCTTTCTCTCTGCCAAATAAAATCTTTATAATAAATGGTTAAGAGGGGTGCCTGGCTGGCTCAGTTGGAAAAGCATGAGACTCTTGATCTCAGGGCAGTGAGTTTGAGCCGCCCGTTAGGTGTAGAGATTACTAAATATAAATAAATAAACAAACTTTAAAAAATATGGGGCGCCTGGGTGGCTCAGTGGGTTAAAGCCTTCGGCTCAGGTCATGATCTCAGGGTCCTGGGATTGAGCCCCACATGGGGCTCTCTGCTCAGCGGGGAGCCTGCTTCCCCTTCTCTCTCTGCCTGCCTCTCTGCCTACTTGTAATCTCTGTCTGTCAAATAAATAAATTTTTAAAAATCTTTAAAATTAAATAAATAAATAAAAGTTTAAAAAATAAAAAATAAAATAAAAATGGTTAAGATGGTAAACTTTGGGACGCCTGGGTGGCTCAGTTGGTTGGGCGACTGCCTTCGGCTCAGGTCATGATCCCGGAGTCCCGGGATCGAGTCCTGCATTAGGCTCCCAGATCCAGGGGAGTCTGCTTCTCCCTCTGACCTTCTCCTCGCTCATGCTCTATCTCAAATAAATAAATAAAATCTTTTAAAAAATATATTTAAAAAAAATGGTAAACTTTATGCTCCGTACATTGTACCACAATTAAAAACAAAATAAGCAAAGCTACATGGCAATAGAAAACAGTTGCTACATATGTGCGCTACGAACTGAACTGTATCTACCTCAAATTCATCCGTGGAAGCTCGAACCCCCTACGTGACTGTATTTGGAGACAGGCCAGTAGGGAGGTTGAAGGAGATCACAGGGTGGGACCTTGATATAATAGGATTAGGATTAGTGTCCTCAGGTGAGACAGCCGAGAGCTCTCTTTCAAGATGGTGGCTGCCTACAAACCCGGAAGAGGGCTGGCTCTCGTGGGAAACGAACCCTAGCTGCCTCCTGATCTTGGACTTCGAGCCTCCAGAACTGTGAGAAAACAGATTTCTGTTATCTAAACCACCCAGTGTATGGCATTTTGTCATGGCAGCCTGAGCTGTCAAATACTATGTGTGAGAGAAAGAGAAAACCAACACCGACAATATATGATAGTTAATACAAATTAGTAAGAAATGGACAGCAGGATTTAAAAAATTTTCCAAGGATATAGGGGTGCCTGGGTGGTCCACATCCTAGGACCCTGGGCTCAGATCACCGTCCCAGGGTCCTAGGATGGAGCCCCGCATTGGGCTCCCTGATGGCGAGGACTCTGCTTGTCTCCCTCTTCCTCTGCTCCCCGCTCCCAGCTCGTGCTGTCTCTCTCTCGCACTCTCTTTTTCTCTCTCATGCATGCACTCTCTCTCAAATAAATAAATAAAATCTTTTTTTTTTTTTTTAAAGATTTTATTTATTTATTTGACAGAGAGAAATCACAAGTAGGCAGAGAGGCAGGCAGAGAGAGAGGAGGAAGCAGGCTCCCTGCTGAGCAGAAAGCCCGATGTGGGGCTCGAACCCAGGACCTGGGATCATGACCTGAGCCGAAGGCAGCGGCTTAACCCACTGAGCCACCCAGGCGCCCCTAAATAAATAAAATCTTTTTTAAAAAACTTCATATATCCCCATATATCCCCACCTGGGTGGCTCAGTGGGTTAAAGCCTCTGCCTTCGGCTCAGGTCATGGTCTCAGGGTCCTGGGATCGAGCCCCGCATCGGGTTCTCTCTGCTCAGCAGGGAGCCTGCTTCCCCCGCTCTCTCTGCCTGCCTCTCTACTTGTGATCTCTGTCTGTCAAA